AAATTAACCAAAGATCTTACCTATAAACACATACAATGGGGTGGTGAAGGCCTGGGGTGAAGCAGAAATTGGGTGAGGGGAACAATGGGAGAGGGGGGAAAGAGGGAATATCTGTAAGTAAGGTACAACCAGTTGTTCAGTTCTTAAGTTCCTCACTGCACTCATTCTAACTCTTTGTTCCCAGTATCAACTATTCCTGGCTAAGTCCACTAGTAACAATGGAAATAACCAAAACCATAGACATAGTTAGAAGGATCTTCACAAGGGGATGGCGGCAAAGGCAGGGGCAGGGGTGGGGGTGGGGGTGTGGAAACAAGGGCTGGCTATAAGCACAATGTGCCAAGTGCTATTAAGATGTCAGTGTACCTACATGGTTTTAAGTTAAAAGCAAGTTTTTAAAAGTGTTTTCCAATATATAAGCTGAAATATAGTGGGAGAGTAATAAGAATTCTAAATAAGAATTTTCTCTTTTATTATTAACCAAAATAGCAAAAAGACTTCTCTTGGCTGTTTTCCTGGTCTCCCTGGTAGCCATTACAAGAACTGCCAGGCTTTGGAGCTGGATGACTATACTGGTGGTGAAGCAAAGGGAAGACTACTACAAAGAATACTCATTTCACTTTCTTTCCAAATAAAATTGTAGAAGACACTATTTCTTATTTCAGTATGTTCCTCCCTGTGAAGATGTTACATAAAAAATTCTGCTAGATAATGATTAACTGAAATTACTGTGGTCATCATTTCATAATATATATAAATGAAACCATGATGCTATACAATTTAAACTTATTCAGTGATGTATATCAATTACATTTAAATAAAACTGGAAAAATTCTTCTAAAGACCTAAGAGCAGGCAGCCACCCAGGAATACTTCAAGTAAAGGGCAAAGATCACATACCAAGGTACGTTTGTAACCAACCTGATGTGGTCAGGGTTCATTCAAAACCTGTGTCCCAGAATTTGGGGCTATATACTAAAGGAGGTAGGCACAGTTTATCCTTATAATTCCTTCATGTTCAACTTTTGACAACAAAATATCGATTTTATAATGTGCAATATTGGGGTCCAAGAAGGTGGCATTCAATGACCTCGTCCTCTCTGTGAACAAACTCAAATATGCATATATGTAGATAGAATTACTCCTGCAAAGCAACTGAGTGCTGAATAAACAGCTTCAAGAGAAAGAGAACAAATAGAGAGGCTAGGAATCACGGGAGTCCTCACCTAGATAGGGTGGGCAGAGGTTCTATGCAGGCACTCTGGCCCGTCTGCAAGGTAGCTGTAGTGTGTTCCTGGACACATTATCTGAACCCATTTTGACCCAAAGGGAGCAGGCAGGATCAACTGGGCAGTATTATACACAACTGTCCTCACCCAGAACTGCTCCAGCTAGATAGACCAGATGCCTTAAACACCTGATTGGCTCCTACCTATGTGCCTGTCAAAACCACCCAGCACATACAGTCTGTACAGAGTCTACTTCTATTAATACATAGGCCAATTTCCCAAGACTGGAAGAGAGAGCTATTATTTTCTAATTCATATAAAGAAACTATTTTAAAAAATCATAGCAAGTCAAACAAGATTTAAAAACAAAATTTTAAGATTAAAAGACAGAAAAATATCTTTCAAGTGAAGAAACAAGAAAAATCCTCAAGGGGGTGGGGAAGAAACCTAAGGAAACAAAACCTAAGGAAACAAAAATCATTTGCCTGATTAAAAATTCAACGAAATGGTCATAGAATGATCACCAAACTCAAGAGTGGAACAGAAGAACTGAGGGAAAGCTTTAACAAAGAGTTAGAAAGTATAAGAAAGAATCTAGCAGACCTGAAGAATATAGCAACTGAAATGAAAAACACACAACAAATAAATCAGTAGATTATCTGACACAGAACAATGGATCAGAGACCTAGAAGACAGATTAGTGGAAATCAATTCGTCAGAACAGAAGAAAGAAAAAATAATTTAAAAAATGAGGATAGTTTAAGGGGTCTCTGGAATAAATAGCATCAAGTGCTCAAACATTCACATTATAGAGATCCCAGAAGGAGAAGAGAGAGAGAAAGGAGCAGAATCTCTAAGAAAATAATGGCTGAAAACTTTCCTAACCTGGGAAAGAAAACAGAACAGACATCCAGATACAGGAAGTACAGATAGTTCTAAGCAAAAGGAACCCAAAGAGAGCCATACCAAGACATATTGTAGTTAAAACGGTAAAAGTTAAAGATAAAGAAACAATGTTGAAGAAAGAGAAAAACAAGTAATGTACAAAGAAAACCTGTAAGAATATTAGCTGATAGCATCAACTTTACAGGCTAGAAGGAGTGGTGAGGCATCTTTAAAGTGCCGAATGAAAAGACCTTACAACCTAGAATAATATACCCAGCAAGGTTGTCATTCAGAATTGAAGGAGAGAGAAAAATTTTCTGAGACAAGCAAAAACTAAAGTACTTAATCACCCTTAAATCAGCTTTACAATAAATGTTCTTCTTTCAATAGAAAAGGGAAGACCAGAACCAGAAAATTTTCAAAATATGAGAAATGGAAAATACTCATAGGTAGAGCCAAATATTCAGTAAATATAGCAATCTGACATCTTAAAAGCTACTGCAAAAGTTAAAAGAAAGAAGTATCAAACTCAACTCAATCTATAATATGTAGATTCACAACACAAAAGGATCTAAAATATGACATCAATAACATAAAACATAGAAAGGAAAGTATAAATGTAGCCTTTATAGAATATATTCTAATTTAAACACCTATCAGCTTAAAATAAAGAATTATATACATAAATCTCATGGCAACCACAAACCAAAAACCTTCAAAAGACATACAAAGAACAAAGAGAAAGGAACCTAAACAAAACACTAAAGAAAAGCAGCAAACCACAGGGAAGAGATCAAGAAGAGAAGAAAGGAAGAGAGGAGAACTACAGAAACAACTTAAAAACAATTAATAAAATGGCAATAAGTACATATTTATCAATAATTCACCTAAATGTAAATGGATTAAGTGCTTCAATCAGAAGACCTATTAACCAATTATATATCCAATAAAACTTAGAAATAACTCACAACTGAACACACACACACACACAAACATACTTCCAATTTTAAAAATGGGCATAGAACCTGAGCAGATATTTCTCCAAAGAGGACATACATATGGCAAATAAGTATATAAAAGATGCTCAGTATCACTAGTCATCAGGAAAATGCAAATTAAAACTACAATGAGACATTACTTTACATCTGTCAAATTGACTATCATTGATAACTCAACAAACAGTGTTGGCAAGAATCTGGAGAAAAGGGAACTCTTGTACATTGTTAGTGGAAATGCAAATCGCTACAGTCAGTATAGAAAACAGTATGGAGTTTCCTCAAAAAATTAAAAGTAGAACTACCTTATGACCCAGCAATCCCACCTCTGGGTGTTTATCTAAAGAAACCCAAAAAACTAATTCAAAAAAATACATGCATGCCTATGTTCACTATAGAATTATTTATAATAGCCAAGATATGGAAGCAACACAAGTGTCTATCAATAAAGAAAATGTGGTCCATACGCACAATGGAATATGACACAGTTATAAAAAAGAATGAAATCTTGTCATTTAGGACAACATGGATGAACCTGAAGAGTATTATGCTAAGTGAAATGTTAGAGAAAGACAAATACCATACGATCTCATTTATATCTAAAAAAAAAAAAAAAAAAGAATACCCTAAATAAATGAATAAACAAAACAAAAACCGACTCATAAATACAGCTCATAGTTGCCAAAGGGGTGGGGTTAGGGAGATGGGAATAAAAATAAAGTAAATTAACCTAGGCAATGTATGTCCTAAATTGTCTAGGAGGGTTTTGAGGCTCAAGGAATATACTTTTTAAAAATTCATGGTAATGCCAAGATTACTCTCAGAAACTACCAAAACTCAAAATTACTGAAGTGGCAAAAAAAAGTTTTAAATAAATTCTGCAATGTCTATGGACACACATGGGTATGTATGTATAATACACATACACACACATGACTTCCAGAGGGGCTTGTGAGCCAACACACCTTCTGAATCCACCTGACATATTCCCCCACCCACCACTGCATTGTTCTTTGGTGCAAGTGACCAAAAACTGGATCTAAATTTGGCCCATTTCAAGGTCAAATGATTCAGCAAACAGAATTTGACCTTAAACAATGTAACTTTGTCCATTCACCCAGCCACACACACACCATTCTCCTTCCTACAACTCCATTAATGTCTATCACAGGTTACCTGCTTCTGCATCTAATCCTTACAAAAAGAAAAGGCATCAGGATGTGTTTGTTCCTCCCCCTCCATTCTCCTCCCCTTTCTTGCTCAACATATATGCAATAGCTGTAAGAGCAAGAAAAGTACAGAACTACCTTATAACCCAGCAATTTTAAAATTCCATTGGTTCAGGTAGGCACATAATTTGAAGCAGCTCCAAATGGACATCAAGTTAAAAAAAATAACAGTTTTCAAAAGTCTATAATTATGTATTTACACAAAGCACATAATTCTGTATGTATTTACATAAATTACAGATTATCAAGGAAATCATGCAAGGTTGTAGTGTTTGTGAGAAGAAACAGAATGAAACACCATAAACTGAATCCATTCCTTTTAACTACACAACAAAATCTAGTGGAGATAGGTTCCCCAACCTGGCGCGTCCTTCGACACTGCCTGGGTATTCACAGAGATAGGTGGGAGGGTGGTTCAATCATGGTAAGTCTTTAACCATGGTGCACATATTGGCACCAATGACACAGTGGTTGGGCTGTCTAAACATTTGTTGGTGAAAACTGGGACCACCTATTTCACAGTAGCTAAGGGCTACCAAATGAGGGATCTAAGCCTCTTAGGAGAAGAACCAGATGCAAACATATGAGCTCACTCTGCTGCCCAATAGAATAATGCCCACCAAAACCCTGAGCAATCTACTCTCCCACACACTTCACATAAATTGCATAAGTCAATATTTATTTATTTACAGACCATTACAGTTTATTGTATCCGTTGCCAAAAGCAAAAACAAAAAAACAAAAACAAAAAAACAAAAACAAAAAAAAACAATTTTTCTCTCTTTTTTTTTTTTTTTTTTTTAAAAAAAGGTACCAAAACAAAGTAACTCCAAATGTAGACATTAAAGTAGCATTTTTCTAGGAATGCATGGAGCTTTTAGTCTTTTTCACAAACTGTTTTCTTTATTTTGGCCTAATTGTACCTCATGCTACTTTAAGATTACTTTTGGTTATCACCTAAAATCAATTTTTTTCAGTGCTAAATATTGTACCTATAACATCCTACAAATTTGATTCATCCCTGTGGTTAGATGTTTAATGTTTCTCAGTAAAAATATTAAATGTCTTTTGGAAAAACTAAAGCCTGAATATGTGCACATTTTAACAGCAGCAAAGAGTTAAGTAATAAATAAGACTACTACATCTTGGGATTAAATACAGTTTCTCTTTAGAAAGTTAAAAAAAAAAAAAAAGAAAAAAAGAAAAAGAAACTAAATGAAGAGAATGTTCTGACCTTTATCATAAATCAACTATCTTACATTGCTCCAGTCCCCCATCTCCAAAATATTTCTTAATTCCAAAGGTTAGACTTCGTTTTTCCTTAATGCCTATCATCAGGAGGACTCTTCTGTGTGCTCCAGCTCGGACCTTAGAAGGGCCACATATGTTCACGGCTATAAGTCATGGGCTTCTACTTCAAAACAGCTTTAACTCACCAGTGACATACCTTTTTTTTTATTTTTAATAGAGAATATGTATCACAACAAAACAAAGTTGGAGTATTAAATTTTAAAATTAGCTACATAAATCCCAACACATTTTTTAATTGTCACTTTTAATTTCCCAACATAACTGACTAAAAACTGTTCTCTATGGTATGGGAATTTGTTATAAACTCCTTTTTCTTAAATATTGCTTTAAAAATTTGGCTCTTTTCTCCTTAGATATAGTAAGGAATAGTCCCCTTGCCCAAGGGCAAGTTCCAAAGTTATTGCTACTAAATAAATACGTATTCTTATGCTTTTCAGCATAAAATGTTATAAAAGCCTTGTAAAAGATATTCTATATAGTAACCTTCCCTTTAAAAAAAAATTGAGTGCTTATGAAGACCTTTTTAAAAACAAAACAAGTCAACAAGTATAATACTTCCCCCTCATTGTCAATTATTAGTAAAGATTTAATAGTTTCATTTGCAAGTTTTACTTGAAGTTCTATTACCATGTATTATGACAGTTCACACCAAAATCAATTTTCCATGAAAGATGTTACAATGACCTCTATGGTACTTGTATAATTTCATATTTGATAACCAAATGTACAAATAAAACGTTTACAAGAATGATCCTACTAATCTGGTTCAGGTGTCCCTTTAAAAAATAATCTGTGCTATGTAAGCTTTTTTTTCTTTTTTCTTTTTGAGAACTCTAAATCAGTACAATGTCTGATGTTCATCCCGTTGTTCTAGAGACCATCTAATATAAAAGCATGGCTACTGCTTAGCTTTGGTACATTCTGCAATAGATTTTAACGAATCGGATATATACTGACCCTCATTTTCCAACTGTGACATTACAAGGATGGCGTCAGTCACTTATGAGAGAGTAAATAGTACAGACACAGAATAAAAGTTTGAGACCCAGTTTATCTTTAATCCTCTGGGATAAGCTATGAAACAAGCATTCTGAAGAGTGAATACTCAGTGTCATGAATGATGTGCATAAGTTTACAATAATACGGGCACAAAAGAGATTGTCACCTTCAGTACATTAAGGGTCATCAGAATTTCTCATATCCATGCAAAGTTATATCCACTTGCATGAATTCACCACAGGTTCATAGCAGACTTTCTCATTTAATGCTTATAGAGCCTAAGCTTCCAAAATGCCTATCTGGCCTGTACATATTTCATTAAAAATAAACTCTATATAATAAATAAATATATAAAATAAATAAAATGTTGCCTTTGGAATTTCTATAAATAAATTTAACTTTTTTTTTTTTTTTTTTTTTTTTTTTACTAAGAGATCTTTGCTTTAAATTCACTGGGATGGCACCAGTGAGAATTAACTGAAAAGGTCTCTTAAGTAAGAATGCACCCTCCATGCCTTTGAAAATGCAGTGTACCCTTAAGCAGGCGACCAGCCAAGGTCCCATGATTCAAAGTGTGGCAGCTGTGTTGATACCAGCTGAAGGACAACTGATTGGACATGTGAAAGTGTGTCTATTCCCCAGCATGCATCAGGCTACCATCTTCTACTTTGCTCCTGTCTTTGATTTCCTGCTGCTCATCCACTCACATTCACACATACATACACTAATATACATACACCCTTGTCTCTTCTCACAATAAATCAAGTGGGCACAGGCAGGCCTCCCAGAGGACAGGCCTGTAAGTGCAACACAAAATCAGCACATCCCCATCCAAGCCTCCATCCTACGGTATACATGCGACAAAGTTTGGCAACAGTGGAGCAGATGTGATGACACAGCTAATCAATAAGAACCCACTGCACGGAACCTTTATAGTGGTTACTTTTTTAAGGGCTCAAGTGAAGAAATGGTCTTTGTCAACTTTGGCTGAGAATATCCTTATATAGTTCAGGTACTTTGTCGGGGTCCACTGGTCTTGGTAAAAAATGTGTGAATTTCTGGTGCCGTTTAGTCCTCGTTCCTTCTCTTGGGGTCCCATCTTTATTTAATGCAACATAGTATCGCCTTCCAGTGTCCACATGTTTATAGAGATTCGAAGAGTACGTATTATACCAGTTTTCTTCAAACTGTTCTCTGAATACACACTCTTGGGTTAGTTTTTCCTGTTTAAAAAGAAAAGGAAGCAAATGAGTATTTTTACTAAATTAGTTACATTCTGTATTTAAAACAATTTTCATTTGCTTACACACTATAACTCTGGCAAGAAAATTTTGATTTCAACCCACTAAACCATTTTAACACATTTTGCCAAAACTGCTTTACTACCGTATTTTTCGGACCATAAGACGCACTTTTTTTCCCCCAGAAGTGGGGGGGGGGAAAGTCCCTGTGTCTTATGGTCCAAATATAGCCTACACATATACTTTAAAAAAAAAGTTTTTTTACTTGTCCAGCTCTGTGTGGTCTCTGTGTGCTTGCCCGGCTCTAAAATGGTTCTAAATGCTGCTGTTTACTTTACAGGGTTGATTACATGTGTTTATGACTGTGATGTTGGGTTTTAATGCACATAAAATATTTTAAGACACTATTTGTTTCAGTATCTTTTTTTCTTCATTTCCCTTCTCTAAAAACTGGTGCGTCTTATGGTCCGGAGCGTCTTATGGTCCGAAAAATACGGTATATAAATTTAACACATTCTCATTTCTTTCTCAGAATGATTAAAGCACAAAGATCCAAAGTATTTTCTCGTTAGACTTTTATGCCTACCAATTATCAGAATGAATAAAACAGGCGAAGGACAACTAACAAGATGAGTTGTTCTCATTTTTCACTACAGCAATTAGGGTGATGACCATCTCAGCAGAAGCCAAAGGTTCAGGTAACTGCTTCATCTTTTATATATTTTTTTTATAAAGCACTTGCTACACATAGACCAACATGAGCAACATCACCAATGATGTCAGTTGCTGTCTAACAGTTGAACAGTGGTGTTTGCTTCTCCCTCCATAAATGTGGTTTTCAAACCTCAGTGTACACAAGAATCACCTTAGATGCTTTTTGAAAATGCAGACTTCCAATTCCAATTCTTTAAAATTCTGATCCACAAAGTATGGAAATACGCATTTGTAACAGGCCCTTGTAAGGGGGAATTCTGATGCAGACACTCCTTGATCTTCATTTTAAGATATAATGCCTTTGGTCATGACTGAAATAAAAACAAATATTCTAGCCCTCCTATTTCCCTGAACTTCAATGGAAGAACTTTTCTCCCCACTTAAAAAGCCACATTCTCAGGCATGCAGCAACCAAGAGAAAAGCTCTACTACTTCCCACATTCATCAAACAAAAAGGTATCACCACCCCAGAATCTGGGGCTCCAGAAGCTTCCTGTTGTGGGCTGGAGTCATAACCAGAAACAACATGCACATTACATCCCAGAACTGTGAACAACGCCCCAAGTACATCCTCAGCTGCTCACCTAACTCCTGGAGGAGCGAGGCAACAAACCACATGGCCTCTGCTCTTCTCACTCCTCAACTGAAACTTTTCAAATCAATCCCTTCCTAGATAGCACTTTTTAAAAATAAACACAAAAATGGCTTTGTAAAATCTCCTACTTGCTCTTGCCCACCTGACACATTACATAAATAAGAAAACAAATAAATATTAAGCGTGCACACACACAGTTAAAGCAGCAGAACAGGTCAGGACATTTGATGTGTTTCCAATTCTGTCATTCAGACCCAGAGGACAGACAGCAAACTATACATCACCAAAATACAGACGCCCTTTTCATATGCACACACCTGACAACACAACTTAGGACACTGGGTTCAAAAGATATCAGCTGGGCAGAATCCATTCTCTCCGGCTGCTGTGTAGTAAATAAGGAGAGTGAAGGAGGGGACAAAGGGAGGGAGTCTGACAAAATCAGTAGTCTAACGAAGGCCACCTTCTCACCTTCTTTAATTAACTGAAGGTTTAAAACCCATTCAAAAGCACAGCAGGGCCTGCATTTCCTGGCAGGTGCTCTTCCCGGGACCAGGGAGCACTGAGTAGGTCTGTAACAAAAATGTTAACTCAATGGACAAGTTTTTGCTAAGTGAATGGAAACAGGGGAAAACAAATTAAAAACAATGCATCTGGCAAGGACAGAAGAAATGGGGGAAATGAACTGCTAATGCTGGTGTACGGGGACAAATGAGTGGCAGGGGGTGAGAAGTGATCCATATTCCTCTCTGCAAAACCACTCCCAATTGCGGTGCCAGCAGACGTTATACCCTGCAGGAAAGGGCCTTATACCTCCTCTACATGTAAACTATAAGCACATTCTTCTGAGGGGCACCCAACTGTACCCTCTGCACTGGGGAGATGAGGCTAAATCTCTATTAAAACTGGCAAAATAAAAATTGTGTGTTGCCGAGACTGGTTTGGCTCAATGGATAGAGCGTCGGCTTGGGGACTGAAGGGTCCCGGGTTCGATTCCGGTCAGGGGCATGTACCCTGGTTGCGGGCACATCCCCAGTAGGGGGTGTGCAAGAGGCAGCTGGTCGATGACTCTCTCATCGATGTTTCTAACTCTTTATCTCTTTCCCTTCCTCTCTGTACAAATCAATAAAATATATTTTAAAAAATTGTGTGTTAAAGACACTGTTATTTCAATCTTTCCTTCCAACTGTATAATAAATATTGTCCTCACAGACAAGATTATTCATGGCTAAAATGTCTGATTTAGGTTTGCTGTGAGATTAAGTTAAATTTTCTAAACAAAATATGTTCACTTTTTCTTAACTTCATAAAATGGACCAAACTATGGGATTGTATAATGAGACTTTAGTTCTACAACGGATGTGAAAAGCTAACTGAAATTAAGCTTTCCTCTTCTCGGCAGGAAATCACATTATTTGACAGACACTTTCCTTAAAAACAGCTCTTCCTTCTCTCTGTGAAACATGAGTTGTGCACTAGCTTGTACACACATCACACCTAGTTGTCTTTGGGTAAAGAACTCACACAAGTAACCTCAGAGGGAGACAGCTGGCTCTGGAGTCTGAGGCCCATGTGAACCCTGGCTTTTCCCCTTACTGATCATGGGCATTTATAACTACTCATTAATCTCCCAAATTTCAGAAGCCCCACTCTTAAAGCAGGTGAGGAATAAGACTCTCGAGAGATGACTATCACAAATATGCACGCAGAGAGCATTGCCTGGCATACAGGAAACCCTGCACAGACAGTGCTTAAGTTAGCACCATAGTCTCTCAGATCTGGAATAGGCCTTAGAAGACAGCTGGTGCAACTTTTCCTGTCAAATATGTGTAAAGTGATCTGCCCCCATCAATGCCACAGGATCTTGTAACAGTAATGAAGCCACTAGAAGTCTTCAGGGTCCCTACTGGAAATGCACGCCCTTCTGCTTTCCCCTGGTCACTAAGCAGTGTGATGCCTCCAGACCCCCAAGTCGATCTCTCTCGGAAGCTTTCTGATACTGCTCCCTAAGAGCCAGGCACTGGAGACTGTGCAGGAGACAGGCTGGGGTGAACTCACTCTTACCTAAGACTCAGACGTGCTTCCTTCCTTCTCTACCTCAAAAATGTAACTTTTTAAAAACACCATTTTATAGGAGGAATAGAAACATATAAAACACACACACACACACACGCACACACACACACACACACACAGATTATGAACAAAATTCCACAGGTAGGTATAACACAGTTTAACAACAAAACACATTTAATTTATGCATTTAAGAAAAGATTCATATTTTACCTGTTTTGAATTTTTGTTGTTTGTTTTGTTTTAGTTTTTTTAAAAAAACAAAAAACTTTAAGAAGTTGAATAAACTAACAAATTGAGTGTGTCTTTTCACTGCTCAGTGAACACTAGTGTTTCCCCTTGTAGGCAATTTTAGCACACATAATATAACTATATAGCAATCCAGAAAACATTTCATTTAAATCAGTATAATCTAAGGCCAGCATTTGTTATGATGGTTAAGAGTTCAGTTGTCTCATACATGGGAGGGTTGTAACTTCCCTTAACAAGCTAAATGTGGTTGTGCAGACATTACATTGCAAAACCACTGGGACCTTTCAGCTCTTGCAATTATTACAGTTGGTATAATGCCACTCAGATAAGCTTATTTTTAATGATCATTTAAAATTAAAGACCCTTTAACTTTTCTGTACCATGTATATGCTTTTTTTAAAATATATAATTTATTGATTTTTTTTTTTTTAGAGAGAGGAAGGAAGAGGGATATAGAGTTAGACACATTGATGAGAGGGAGCCACCGATCAGCTGCTTCTTGCACACCCCCTACTGGGGATGTGCCCGCAACCAAGGTACATGCCCTTGACCGGAATGGAACCCGAGACCTTTCAGTCTGCAGGCTGACGCTCTATCCACTGAGCCAAACTGGTTTCAGCATGTATATGCTTTTAAATAATTTCTTCATCTTATTGGGGACTATGTTAATATGAGATTTTTTTTTACACTGATAAAAGTAGCAAGACTTACAGAATTAATCTCTTTATCCTCACACTTCAGTACTTAGGAATAAAATATTTAATTGAGGTGAATATATTTATGTTTTAAATTTGTACTCCAAAATGACTTTTCTAAGTTAAAAATAAGCAAACAAATGCAAATTGGACAGCAGCAAATTTATTAACCTGTATTCTTATAAATATATGCAAAGGAGAAAAAAAAATGTCTGCCTTCAAAGAAACTAACAAGAGGGCAGCGGAGAGCTACAGGAGGGTGCAGAGAGCCAACTCTGGGGGGGAGGGAAGGGGGAGGAGCAACGGGAGGCAGGGCAATGGGCGGAGAGCAACGGGCACATGGATTCGTGTGCAGGGCTACTAGTGAGATAATAATGTGAAAACTATAGTAAACCCAGATAATGTTTAGAGACATAATAAGAAATAAACTCATACAGATAATAATTTAAAATATTAGACAATTGAAAACATGGAACCAACATGGGCTTTACTATGACCAATTCATATCAATAGCCATTTTTTAAAATCAGAATTGTTCAAAATTCAAAACTAATTTGTTTTCTTTGAAAATGAATAAACTTTATCATGCAATTTTAAAATGTGTTTTCATGTTTACATAAACACATACATAAATATAGATGGTGTAGCTTTAA